TAGGTTTTTAAAAATTTTTAGACAATTTTCCGAAAACAAAACTACAAAAATTGCTATCCAATATATTTCATTTATTTTTATATAATGAAATCTATTTGGGATTGCTCGTATCACAACTTTATACCTTAGATTTTCTAGGTGATAAGTGATTTCATAAGTGATTTACATATAAACTTATTTTGTATTTATTGTATCCTTATTATTTTTCAGTTATACACTGGATTTTAAAGATTAAATAATTGGCATTTATTAATTAAAAATTGTATAAACTGATGAATAAATTAAAAATGATTATACATATACATTACTAAATTAAAGTACAGAAAATAGTATAAATGTAACTATTTTAATATTAATATCTGCAAAATTACAATTTGAACACTTTTGAAGAATTCAATTTGAAGAAATTACATTTGAATGCCTCTTTCAAATGTTGAACAAGCAAGCAATGGATCGCCATTTTGTTACACTGCCATTTTCCCTAGCAAATCCTAAGATGCTCGATGCTACACAATAAAGTACAACTTTCATTAAATCTGTATTAAGGCATAGAATGATTTCAAACATAATATCATGACTCAACTCTTAGCAATTTCGACCCATCTTTTTCATCGTCCCTATTCAATGAAACGTTTCTCAAATTGTTATGGCTGGTGTATTAATAGCCACGCAATTTATAACAGCAATTTCGTGATCTTCTTCAACTAATCAAGTAACGCTGCCAGTTTAGAATTGCTCCTATATCGCGGTATGTTCTTTTTGCAGGGTCTGTTCACCGGTAACGACGTTCCGCACTACCTAACGAGGGGCAAAATATCAAAGGGGACGTTACGCCTTAGCCCTAGACAAAAAAGGTGATCGAAAACCGCAGCGCCCTATTGGCCAGCCAACTCGAATGTCTGAATTCCCTAATCTGGACCCAGGACCCAGGGTTTTAAGTGGCGGCATAGAGGTGTATAATAGGGGCCCCTGTCTGGCCCTTCGGGCTACTCTAGTTCTTCTTCTGAATGTCATAAACTAGCACGTGAATTCCATCGTGTCTTCATGATAACTGCTTAGATCTGCATTCCTTTTCATATTATCGAATTGAACAAGTAAATTTGACAAAAATATATATTTTCTCTTTAGTTAAATATATCATTTTGTGTACTTTTGTACAATTAAACCTCGGTAACTCGAAACTGTATAACTGGAAAATCTTTATAAAACGAAAATTTGGTTAACTCCATAATCTATGATTTTTCTGACAGTTGTATCAGTCAAAACTAACTTCATTACTGCTGAAATATTCACATAAGTAAAATGTTAAGGTTAGAAAGTTTGAGTGTTGAGATAGGTTTTGGATTTAGCAGTAATTAGTTCTATAAATTATAATTGGTATTGAATTCAAAATTTTTCCATGTGTACACAGGATTTAGGTTTATTACGTTTGAACTGTATTGTGCGCAACCAGTCTGTCTGTGATGTTACAAATAAATGAGTTAATTTTTTTCACATGCTGCGAAATCTTCTATAAATCGACACGAAGCTTACCAGAACTCGAATTATTTGCCACGTGTCTAAATGTATTATTTTATCTTTGTAATTCAAATTTACTTCTAGAAGTGGAATTTTACCTGCATAAGTCGAACTTTCGTCGGTGCAATCTCTGCAACGCGATAGTAGTTATATTGAGGAGAAAATATCTCCTCAATATAGGAGATATTGAGGAGATATTTTTGAGGAGAAAATTGAGTTTGAAAGTTCATTAAAATATTTATAAAAAATTTGCTTACGACAAGAAAGATAACAATTTCAACAATTCTTTTATTAATTCAGCAGCTAATGGATGTTATAAATTAACGCATATAATTATTGATATCAACAAAATGCTTAATATCGGTCCATTATGATGTTACTGATGTCTACATTCGCCATACTTTCGATTAAGTTCTTCGTGCTGTACTTACATTAATATCAACAATATAATGAAAAATAATTGATAATACATTTTAGCGGTATTAATAATTATATTCATTGATTCAAAACGGTAAATAATTGTTACATTTACGAAAAACTAATTGAAATTATCATTTCTCTTGATGTATAGAAGTTTCCTTACAAATATTTTGGAGAACATTCAGATTTAATTTTCTCGAAAATCAAAAAGAAATTTTGTTCTATATTTTTTACTTATTTTTTTCGCAATAAATTACTTCGTCAGAAGTGCTTTACAGCATTTATGTAAATAATAGAAGTAAAATTATTGTATAAGTTACAGTTCATTCATGCTAATTTGTAAACGAAAACATAATTAGGACGATACTAAAAACGAAGTTGTAAGTTATTAATACTAAATTTTGAAACATTAAAACTTAGTTTAAGCGAGAGTTAAATTAATCCAACACAATTTGTTTGTTGAAGAGGATCAATTTTTTTTTATCCTTAAGTGCATTAATAAGGGACTAATATTTTATTGTTTGCAGGCATCATAATTGTCAGGAGCGAGAATAACAAAACACAGTTTTTAAATACAATAAGTATGTATTTTCATTCTATGATACGCGGTATATTACAAAATATAAACAAACATAATTGAAATTGCTGCAAAAAAAAACAGAACGAAGACATAAGCGAGCATAATGAGTACGCAATTTCATTGCTCCAAATTACATAATTAACACAAGAGCGCTGCTAAAGTATTGATCTGATCTACATCGATCCATTCGATCAATAATTAGGGAAAAGATAGGATCGAGTACATACGTACAGTTTGTTGAAAAGAAATAAGATAACAAATTATTTCTTGTTGTAATTTTAATTATATGTGCAATTGTATTCAATACTCTTAGGTGTTACTAATTTTAAAAAATATTTTCTGGGTACCGAAAAATTAGGTGGTTTCAAAAATGGCACAAACTGATGTTACTAGTACTTTTGTGGATACACAAAGAAAATATGAAAATCAATTTCAGTTTTTTGTGTGTAATATTGTACGTATTTTATACATTAATCGATCCAATTTTGCATTTTTTGAAAGAAAATATTCAGATAATTATAGCAGAAATCAATATATTGGATGATATTTAATATTATTGTTACATAATGGTACAGATGCATTTACTGATATCTATTTACATCTTTTTAAATAATTCCTAGTATTTCTTTTATACAAAAAAATAAGAAGTAATGCATAGATTTTTACCATCCTGTTATGCTGCATGGTTTTCTCATAAAATTTTAAAACACAGCGATGAAGCTTGAGTTATGTGTATTATTAGTGAACATAGCAATATTTGAACTAAAATTTTTACACATATATTATTACTGCAATTATTAATCACCTTTAAGTTTCCTATGTCTAAGAAATTATTCCAAAATTCGATATTTGCCATTGCGGTTGAATAGTCAGAATTGCCAATGTTCTCGTATAAACCATATTTTCGTAAAACCCTATTTTTTCCATATAAACTATATTTTCGTATGTCATAACCCTATATCTTTCAGTTCCAAATCTGTACTTGTGAGTCCCAAAATTTGTATTATAAAATTTGATTTTCTTTCAGCGAACTAATAATGTAAATGAAAAACGCTTTTCTTTAAATAACGCTTTAACTTAAAAATAGCTTAAAAAATAATATACGCTTTTTTGATTCTATTAGATCGAATTAATACTTCCAGCAACATCGAAAATCGTCTACTTCTTTTTCTAGTAAAAAACAAACAAATAGCACTTAATTTTTCCCCACATTCTCTTATGCCAACGAATAATCTACTTTTTCTTATTAATTTCAGCATTCATTGTGAACGAAATCAAATTGCTATCCCGCATTAAATCAGTTCCGATTATTTGATTGTTTAGTGGATGATAGCTGACAATTACGTGATTCAGCTTTTCCCCGGAAGGCTAGAAGATGACTCGTTAGCCTCGACCGCCGAGTTAGCGCCCTAAACGTAATCATCAATCACCATTAACTCCAGCTATCCGGTCATCTTAATCGTTTCCCAAAATTCAGTACATAGGGGATTCGTAAATCCTGCAGATTTCACGCGTGCAACGGGGCTCCGATTAAAGTTATTTTCTACTCTCTTAATTGTAATCTAAACCTTTGAACGAGATACACCCCGATGGGATGAACATGTTCCAAAAGGTTGAACGAAACTCATGAATCATTTCTTAAAGAAGAGAGGGAACTTCTGCGATGGTTTCCAGAAGCGGATCAATAATTTATCGAATTAACGACGTTGGCCTATAAATCTTATAATAGATATGGCCATTTTACAATCCCACGACTTATCATGGAAGAACCTAAACCAAACTTGATTTTTAATCCGCCTTAATACGATCGGTCGCTAACTAATTATCTCGCTTGTTAGCATATAATGTATGGAACAATTTTTTTGATTTGCAAATAATAAATGTATGCAGTCGCCGAAGGTCGGCCTAAAATGGACACTGCTCCTTTTAGAGATGAAGATATTAAAGAACCTTCAAGGTTTTTTCAAACGTTGAGGACTATAAATCCTTTCTTCGAGAAAAACATTTATAATATCGATTATTGGGTTCTACGGAAATATGGTTTATACGTGAATATTGGCAATTCTGACTAATCAACCGCAATGGCAAATAACGAATTTTGAAATAATTTCTAAGAATGATATCAAAGCACTAATTTGTGAATCACGATGTAATATAATTACTTTTGTCTCCTGATAGATAGCCATTAATTTTATTAAGTACGGCTTGTTTAGTGAAAGATACAAACATGAACATCAATTATTCATTAAATAATGTATATACTATAAGGATATATAGTAAATAAAACTGAAGTTCATAATAGTTATGTTAATTCGATTAAACTTCATTTTTTCCTATTTCGAGTAACTGTCCACTTATTTTTGTCCCCGACTGTAAATATATGATATTGTATCATATAAAATAGAATAAGTATTATAAGTACATCGTATAGACATTGCATTATTTAAAGTATAATAAATATTATAAATATTTATACATATAGTGGATTTTGCAGCCACAGCCACGGGTCAGCCCCATTTTCGAAGCCGAAAAGTAAGAAAATAAATTTATTATAGATATTACAACAAAATGATACTGTCTAACTTCAATTTCGACTACAAATCGTTCAGATGTATCATGTTTCTTGTTATAAAACCAGATTGCAACGATCAGACAGCAAGAAGATCAACGTAAGAGCAACAAATACTTGTTCAATCTATTGGACGTTCGTTCCGGATGAATCCGTCTAATTGCAAATAAAAAACTCAAGGCGCTCGTTGCCTGATCTGCCAACGGTTTCCGAGAAGATTCCATGGAATCGTGGGACGTGGGTCGCTTTCTCGTCTAGAAAGCACAAGGAACACTAGACTTCCTAGACGCGGCCATGCCGCATTCCGTAAAACTGGCGACCCGCCAGAGTGCGGCATCAGGATCAGCCACGTCTTTGCACCGTAATCAGGGACACGCGCTCAATCCTCTCTGACTTTAACCCAGAAGGTTAAGTATACCTCTTCCTGCCGGCTGTATCTCTTTCTTGCTCTTTATTCGCGACTTTTAAGCGGCCTCCAGCGTCACGATTGATAGAAACACTGTATCCGATGAACCTTTTACTAATCCTGCGAACAGTCTCCAGCTGGTATATGTTATTTTTGGGTTAGTTTACAAAAAAATCAGATTTGGAAATTTATTGTATCCCTTTGCTGTTATACAGGGTGTTAGCTGGGTCAATAGAAAGTTTGCAAGGGATGATAGAACAGGTCATTTGGAACATATTTAATTACATATACCTTTATGCAAAGTACCGTGGTTTTTAAGATATTGGCCACTATGTTAATTTCGCCTTAATTAATTTAGCGGACATTTTCGATGTAAACGATTGTAGAAAGTTTATTAGGATTATTATAAACTGCAGATTTGTGTACTTTCTTATTTTCAGAACGTGCTTTGTCTAAATCACACAATAAAATTTTTCTGAATGTAATTCTAAATATTTGGTAGCCGAATGAAACTGGCTGCATGCTGTAGCTTGTAATAAATTTTTAAGTAAATTGTAAGTAAATTTTTAATCGCTCTCTTCTGAGAAACAGTTAACAAACTTAGTTTCTCTAAAACCAGTCTGTACAACCAAATTTGCCATTACAAAATAAAATTTTTCACGGTACTTTTTGTATTATAAAGTTTCGAAGATATTTATAAAAATATGTTTTTTATCCCCAACCTCTACAACTATTCTCATGAATATAAATATCCACGAAAAAATATTGGTTAAATATTTTTTTTTTTATATTTACGTAGTCTGTAACTTTCATTAAAATCGCTAATTAACACTCAGCAAATTTCATTCTTTCTCTCAATGAGTTGATTAATTTTTAATATAACAGGGTAAAAATTATATTTAGTACATATCCACATTTCAAGGATTTTGTATCTTTAGTTTGTTGTGCTCTAAAGTTAGATAAATCTGATTTAATATCCTCTGTTTTTGACATACATAAAAGATGAATTATTTTAAAATTAAAATTAAATATTAGGTTATTTTCTATTAAATGATCCATTTCATAATGTCAAATTGATCCGCTCAAACATAATAATTTTAATTTTTGAGCAAATTGCATTCTTTCATCAGCAAAATAGTAGCGTGAACCAATAATTGAATGGTACCGCGATTGATTACCACCTCATCTGATAATTCATGTGTTTTTAATAAAACGCTAACTTCGATACAGTTTCAACAAAAATTATTTTTAACTTTTATTTTAATTTTTTAAATTATTTTAAAAGTATTTAAAGAACTTAATAAGTAATATTTTCTGATTAAAATAATTTTATCGGTTATCTATTAACTATTACATCGTTTAATTTCCTACTTAGCATAAATTTGATTATATCGAAAAAAACTTGTAAGATAATTTTAAATACTCTGCATTCGTGTGGGTATTCAAATTTGCTCATAAATCAAAGATGTATGTCTATAATCTTCCAATAAATTTCACTATGAATATTTATACCTTCAACTTTGATCATTAAAATCAATTTTTCAACGATCTTTTTTTCAGCTTGTGATACAATATCTTCCCCATGACATTTTGGAGATAAATGTTTAAGGTTTTACACATATTTACATAAGTTTGTTATACGAAATCACCAATACCTTCAATATCACCCACTCTCATTAATCTTCGATAGGCTGGCACAGCGAGTGTTTCTTGATTATTATGCAACATTATTTTGCCTCATTTCATATACTTCCTAATCTATTTCCGCTTTCGCTTCGTCTAATTAACAATAAATAAAATCATTCGCAAAATGACAGATGAGATAAATTTTACTAATCACAATTAATCCTGGTTCAATGTTTTATTACATATGCATCATTTGCAAGAAATAGAGCTAATTAATATTGTATTCCATGAATAAAAATTAGAGGATTTCGCACAAAACAAATATTTAATTTACATATTTCAGTGCAGACATTTTATTGTTTATCATCGTCATTTATCAGCTAGTTTTTCGGTTCAAACATTTTTAAATTATTTATGATATTTCAGTAGTTCAAAATTAATGTCATATTACATACCTATACTTAATAAATGTTTTAAATTTGCTATCCTTTTAAAATGCACATTAAATATATATTTTTTCGTATTAAAACTTTTGCAGGGTGATATTGTGAAAGATGAAATGATAAAACAGATATTGAATATAAATTTAATTACTTAATATAAACAACATTTAAAACAAAAGCCATTTAGTAAGCGTGGGAATAGAATTGAAGTGGACGTGAATAAGCGAGCTTTTGAAAGGACAGACAGATATTCTGTTATGGGACATTGCAGAATAACAATTGATATATCAAATGTTTGCCATTTAAATATTGAAGATTTGGAGATTTGGACATTCGGAGATTTGGACATTTGGAGATTTGGACATTTGGAGATTTGGACATTTGGAGATTTGGACATTTGGACATTTGGACATTTGGACATTTGGACATTTGGACATTTGGACATTTGGACATTTGGACATTTGGACATTTGGACATTTGGACATTTGGACATTTGGACATTTGGACATTTGGACATTTGGACATTTGGACATTTGGACATTTGGACATTTGGACATTTGGACATTTGGACATTTGGACATTTGGACATTTGGACATTTGGACATTTGGACATTTGGACATTTGGACATTTGGACATTTGGACATTTGGACATTTGGACATTTGGACATTTGGACATTTGGACATTTGGACATTTGGACATTTGGACATTTGGACATTTGGACATTTGGACATTTGGACATTTGGACATTTGGACATTTGGACATTTGGACATTTGGACATTTGGACATTTGGACATTTGGACATTTGGAGGTTTATAGATCTAGAGATTCAGAGATTTAATAATTTACTCATTTAAAAAGCTAATTAAATTTTTAAAGCTGAAAATTTACAAAATTTGAAAATCTCAAATTATCAGGGAAGATGCACAGTAAGATGTAAAATTTCTCTATCATTGAATCAGTAAAACTTGAATTGAATGGTTCACAGAAAATAAACATTGAGAACTTCTGCTATAAACCTTTTACTTCGATGATTGAAACAACGTTTACATCAATTCTTTTTTTCAACGTGAACAGCAATGTTTCCCATGACATTTTTGAAATAGGTGAATGTTTCACTTTTTTAACACCACCTCTGATTAACCTTCGACGATCTGATTCTTAATGCTAACTGGTGATTTACTACAAATACTTTTTCACCTTCATTTTGTTCGTGGAATATAATTCAGCACGTGATCAATCGCTAAAGTAAGAATTTAGGTAAATAATTCCATCATTAAGTACACAAGATTGTAATCCTCTAAAAATAGTCAGTCTTTATTATCATATGCAGATTTTTCCATAAAATAACGATCAGTTAATGCTGGTTCTTAAGTTTCTGAGGAAAATCAGTTTCAAAATGGAACATTAAATACACTAGTCAAAAAAATTAAGGGAACAGAAACATTTCTAAAATTTTTAGGTCATTTTCAAATTGCTCTGCCTCCGTTGGAATTCATCACAGAAGACATCCAGAAGAGTCATTTTGAAGCTTCAGGTCTCTAGTTTTCGACCCTTTATCTCAAAAATTTTTCGAGCCCATTATCATTAACAAAATATATAAAAAATCGCGATGAAAAAATTTTTTAATTTTTTTTCTTTCTTTTAAGGCTTGTAAATACATGGAAAAATTTTTTCGATTAATGCCACTTCCAGATTGCTGTTCCCTGTTCCTTCCCCTATAATTTGCACGTCCATGAAGTTCGTTTCGACGATCGGTCGCAAAGTTATGAGCTACCAAAGCCAAAATGACGCTTTTTCCTTTGATAGTCATTATCTCATGAACCCATTATCGAACAGAAAGTGTAAATACGGTTCCAGAAAGCGGAAAATGCACCCTTTAAGATGGCTATATCAGTTTTTGATTAGATGTTTTTTCTTATGCTTAATATTGATGTAAAAAAACGTCAAAAAACGGCGTTTTTTCCTCAAATTACAAAAGTTACGGTATCTTTGTAAGTAAGTATTGTAATGATTCTGCCTAGGTTTTGTTTTTAAGCTCATATTGCCCACAAAATGTGTGCGAAGTTTCAAATGGCTCCGATTCTTTGTTCCCTATGAAAAGATGTATCAAACTTTGAAATTTGAACGAAAAGTGTTAAGGAAACGTCATTATTGCTCCTATCCGTGACTAATTCGTTTGTTCGGTAAAAAAGTTTGTGTCTCTGCATTTACCGGTACTTTTGCTGAATTTC